GTGTAATGTTAATTTTACCTGTGATCCTTTGAATAAATCAGCACTGTTTTGTAGTTACTTGGACTGTCTCGTCTCTCAGAGTCAGTATGGTAAGAAGTATGGGGTACAACAGCAGCCATTCAAGTTGTGGTGTATTGAGTCTTTTCAGTGCAGTGCACTTCCTGCTAAGGCTTCTTTATGGACATGGACACTGGCCAGGGCCACTGAGTGGAAGGGATTACTCTCTCCTCTGGAATACTAATGACCATCTTTTGTCACCGATCCGTTTCCTCCTCCTTCACTCCACATCCCCCTGCCACTCTCTCCTTCCTCATTCATTTCTCCCTCTGCCTCTTTCACTCCTTTTGTCACCTGATGCTTAATTCTCTCTCAATCCTCCCATCAAAACCACTTATTCTCTCTCTTCATCCCCCTATCTCTGCCCACCCACAATGTCAAGCATACTCGCACATCACACACGCATGTCGACGCTCAGTCCTGCTCTCCTCTCCTCGTCTCACTTGTTCTCTCTTTCACTCACTCACTCACTCACTCAGTCGTATTCTTCAATGGTGGCTTTTGTCCCTTTCATCTCTGTGGAAACAAAGGATTCTTGTGAATACAGGACAGAAGGAAGGAGAGGGAAGGAGAGCTGGACGGAGAGGAAGAGACCCCAACCTTGAGTGTGGTCACCCAATGAGTAGAGAAAGTCATTTTACAAGAGAGGGAATCCATCACTGTTAATACCTTTCATTATCTGTACCTCCATTTATCTGCTTTAACTGCAGCTAAAAAGATTTCCCAGCAAACACACTGTATTATTCTGTTTGGACAAGGTTTGCTAAAACTACAGTGCTGATTTTTTTTAACTATATAAATCTACTTACTGTGACCTGTATATGAACATCAGATCAAGTGAAGTTATGGCAAGTGGGGGTGGTCGCTTGTAACAATGTACACTCAAGCTGCATCTTTCAACATGCTGACTTGGCTTTACAGCCTACATATGCATTGTTTTGGTTTGCTCTCACTGTGTGCATTGAACTTGTTTCCAGAAGCAGCAGAAAAGCTTTGATTAATCCACTGTTCACCTGCCCCAAACTACAAAGTTGTCAACTGCATTGAATGTAGCTGAGCATTTGCTGTAACTGCCAGAGAGTCACATAAGTTCGAAGTTGATGGTAAAACAGAACTAAAATGAGAGTGAATATTGGGAATCCAATAACCAGGTGGCCAGACACTCCACACAAAATAAATGCTCACAAAAACAGGCAAACTAATCTGTGTGCAGAATTTAAAGAAGCTCTGAGGAAGATGCAATGTTGCTGGAACATCAGCTTAAAGTTTGGAATAAAGTCGGAGCTGCTCTCTTGCTTTCTGCAACAGTTTTGCTTCCTGAATTTTGTGAGTTTATGCACATGTATGTGTGTTTACTGTGTGTGTAGGCAGGAGCTCTGCAGGGTTCGGAGGTCAGCTGGCGATGGACACAGTCAATCACATGGGCCTGGGTTAATCAAATCACATACCACCAGACTCATAAACAGCTTTCGTCCCTGGGCCATTAAAACTCCCCCCCCACACACACACACACATCTTAGTATTCACAGCACAATCCTCAACACAGATCTCTATTCATTCCCTGTGTGTGTTGCAGCACAGTGAGAGGAGAGATGGTTCAGAAAGGACAGGAAAAGACAGAGCGTATCAGATCACTTACACCACTTTTGTTTGTGTTGTTTTGTTGTTGGTTTTGTTATATTCGAAAGAAGAGGCAATTTGACACAAAAGGGCCATTTAGCAACGTGAATGAAAGCAAGAGAGAAGAACAGAACAGAAGTATGTGGAGTAAAAGCTACTGCTGCAGACCAGTTAATGTGCTACTGACACCATGAAGCCTACTTGTACAGTAGACCACCGTTCTCTGACTTGTTCACTTGACACCTGGTTAATGCATTATAAGCCATTAGCTTAAGGAATGAGTGTTGATATGGTTGTACTGGGATGAAAGTTCTCCCATGTTCCACATACACTCTGTTAATCTGCTGCTACAGCATAATGGCCCCAACTGGAACTGCAGGGATTTGCTCTCATTAACCCACAAGGGCATCAGTGAATTCAGTCACTCATGTTGGGTGATTGGTCTGGTTCGCAGTTGGCACAATAGATCATCCCAGAAGCTGCTGGATGATCTTGTTGTCAGGACTCTGTGCTGGTCAGTTATGTATGTGCTATGTAGTATGTGGTAATTTCCTTTAACTGTATTACACAGTTGATATTCAAATCCTTTTGTACAGTTCACCACAACTTCTCGAAAACAAGATTTGACTCAGATCATTTTTAAGTAAGAGAACTTGCATGTGCACCAACAAGAAATGCATCACTTGAAACTACTACTACAAAAACAACTTGTCCTCCTCCTTCTTCGTCTCCTACCTGTACAGTAACAAAGGTAGAACATGCAGTAATTATCATGACAGGTAACACTGTCCCCCAAAACCTACTATCTTTTTGTAAAAGAGGCTACTCCTATGTGCAGAATGCACATGTGCATGTGTCACATCTGCTGCAAATGTTGCAGCGCTGAGGTCTCTGTTTAAGTAAAAACAGGCCAGAAAGTGAAAGGTAGAGCATGAAAACGGCTTTTAGCAAAGTGGGAGAGGGTGGTCACCAGCGGACGACCTCAGCATCCCTGATTCAAGTTTAAAAGCTCCTTTTCTGGTGTGGAAGGACAGTTGATAGTGTGTCCTCATCTCAATTCATTAGCCTTCTTGTGCATTGACATGTGAATGAGCCAAACCTACCACACTTTTAATGTGAAAGAGCAGCTGTGCCTTCATGCTGAAAGAGGGCTTTTATTTTGACAAGGGCAGCTGGCTTTGGTGAAAAGAGAAGGGGGCCTTAAACGGATCGCCGTGGACAGCCCAGGCACCGTCCAGATGAAAATGTGCTGCATCGTCAGCTCCCTCTCCTCCTAAATGTTCCACTCTGTCATCTTCTCATTCATGCACTTATCTTTGCTCCTTGTGCACACATGCTGCACCTGTAAATGTAAACTCCCTTCTGATGTTACCACCCATACAAACTATGTCCTTTTTTCTCAACAGCTTCCAACTCTCTTCTTCTTTTCAAGCACTGGCCTACCTGTTCTACCCTCTTTTCCTCCTCTCCTTACCGCTTGTTGTCTCTCACCTGCAGCACCAGCTATGACCTCAGCCACTCCTCCATCCTCTGAAGGCCCCTCTCCTCAGAAAGTTTGCCACTCCCAGACACAGACGGACATCACCAAGCCCCTGCTGGGCTCCACAGGGGGGACTGGAGGTGCTAACGCAGGTGGAGCTAAAACAGGAGCTGGAGGGCTCAGTGCTCTTCGAAGGAGGCGCCGTGTCCTCTCCAAAGATGGGCGAAGCAATGTGCGCATCGAACACGTAAGCGGGCGAGGGGCGCTGTACCTCCGTGACCTCTGGACAACCTTTCTGGACATGCAGTGGCGCTACAAGTTCTTTCTGTTCTCTGCCACCTTTGCTGGGACCTGGTTCCTGTTTGGACTTCTTTGGTACCTGGTGGCATTGGTGCATGGAGACCTACTGGGTAAGAACATGGGATGGGTGAACAGTGGGAGAGATTTATACTGGAGAGACAGTGGACAGTTAAAAAACAAAAGCAGTAAAGGCAATGGCAGACAGTTTGTTAAAGATCATGATCTCACTTTTATCAGACCTCAATCAGAAGCCAGTAGAACATCTGTACTGGATGCCCTCAGCCTTCTTCAAAGTAGTTTTCACTATAGAGACAAAGAAGTACACAAGTTCTTTTTTGTGAATGGTTAAACAGTGAAGTGGGACACGTAGGAATACAGTTTTGTTTTGTGAAAAGAGCGTGAGAAAGAGTTGGCAGAACACTGGGAAAAAATGTTCCTTGGTAATTTGATTACACCCAGAATGCCTGATCTTCTGCCACTCCTTCCTCCAGAGTATGACCCTCCCTCCAACCACACCCCATGTGTAATGGAGGTGAAGACCCTGACAGGGGCCTTCCTCTACTCCCTGGAGTCTCAGACTACAATTGGCTACGGTTTCCGCTGCATCACGGAGGAGTGCCCTGTCGCCATCGTCCTGCTCATCTTCCAGCTGGTCATCACCATGGTGATGGAGATCTTCATCACTGGCACCTTCCTCGCAAAAGTAGGCAGATGTAGTTTATAGCTTGGAGTAAAACAGAAACCACAAAACAAAGTGGAACTCTTAAACATAGGCCTGCACAACACTCCACTGTCTTGTAATTCTACCACTCAGGGTGCTACATTTAAAGTTTTCAGTTCATACTAGCTTGGAAATTGGAAGGGTTAGAGTTAAATCCCCCTTCTTTTCTGAACCTATCTTAATGTAGGGTGATTACTGTATCTTGAACATATAGAAAATCAGAAGCCCTGTAGATGATTAATGAATGAATCATATTATATCCATTTTATACTGAGACTGATGTTTTAATCCTCTTGCAGGTTGCTCGTCCCAAGAAGAGAGGCGAGACGGTGAAGTTTAGTCAACATGCAGTTGTATCAAATTATGAAGGCCAGCCCTGCCTCATGATCCGAGTGGCCAACATGCGCAAAAGCCTGCTATTAGGATGCCAGGTATGCAAACTAAAGCCCCCTTTTGGATATATTTTGTTTCTGTTTTTATTATTTGTATGCGCTTTTCAGTATTTTAATCCATCTGAAGCACATATGTGTGAGTTTTGTCCCTCATATTAATTGCAATGTGAAATATCTACTGTTTTCAGACACTTTGTGTTGCTCTCTGTATGGGTGACACGAAAATGAATTCTGTGGGTTGTAGTGACAAATAAGATGGAAATGAACCTATTAGCACTCAGTAAAGAAAAGCTTTTATGAGAACCACAAGCTCAGTTAATGGGCTGCTGTAACATGTTAGCATGCACCTGCACTCGCCGTTCCTGTAACTGATTATAATTATTGCACATGTGCAGTCATACTTGGAAAAAGTGTCATGAGTCACCTGTTAATAAAATCCTTTCACTTTCTTCTGGTTGCTTTATTGTAATAGCCATGCTGGTGTGAAATGTGAGTCAGTACGTGTTGCTATTGATGGAAATACTGGGGCCTTTTGGTTACAGGATGCCTTCTGCAACCTATTGGCTACATTTACTGACTCCATCTTGGCTCCCAGGTGACGGGGAAGTTGCTTCAGACACCCCTGACAAAGGAGGGCGAGACAGTGCGGCTGGACCAGCGCAACGTGCCTTTCCAGGTGGACACGTCCAGCGACAGCCCCTTCCTCATCATCCCCCTGACCTTCTACCACATTATTGATGATAACAGCCCCCTCAGAGCCTGGGCAGCAAAAGGTAGCTCATGGGTCTGATAAACAAACAGCTCAGGCTCAAGATTTTTATACACAGTAGAGTTTATTTAAATGTTACACAGTGCAAGATAGGTCTAATTTGTCAGTGTAGTTAGATTTTATATGGGTTTTAGCTGCAATCCAACTGAACTTGGTCCTGTTTTCAGAAGAGATAGGTCTAATTTGTCAGTGTAGTTAAATTTCATATGGGTTTTAGCTGCAATCCAATTGAACTTGGTCCTGTTTTCAGAAAGTGGGTGAATGGCCAAATAGGGTGAAAGCGCTTTGAGTGTGCTGTAAAGCATAGAAAGGCGCTATACAAGTATAAGACTATTTACCGAGCTGGAATATCAACACCTTCCACTTAACTATGTAGTCAGATGAACTGAATCACACACACAAAGCTGTCTGTGAAGATCAAAGTGTGGGTGTATTCTGTGAAAAGCGCTATCAAGGGGACTTTTTTATTTTCTACAAAGGTGATAGCTGTGGTTGAGCTGCGGTAAGGCGCATAGGCAAACAGGCAGGAAGTCTAAACAGGCAAGCAAGGTTAACAAGACTCCATAATAAGGCACAAGCTGAAACTGCTAAGAGAAGAAGTCACCAAAGCAGACAATAGGCGTAACATGAAAAACCTCTGGCATGTTTCTACCTTCAGTTCTTTTCTGTCCTGCAGGTGGTGGCTGGACAGACCCGGAGCTAGCTGACTTTGAGCTGCTGGTGATCATGAGTGCTACAGTTGAGCCAACATCCGCCACCTGCCAGGTTCGAACATCCTACCTTCCGGACGAGATCCTCTGGGGCTACGAGTTTCCCCCTGTTGTCTCTCTGTCCCCCTCAGGAAAATACGTGGCAGATTTTGCCTTTTTTGACAAAGTGGCCAAAACCAAAACCCCTCCCCTGTTTAAGACAGCCCTGCCGCCAACCCCTCAGTCACAGGCATCCTGTTACCATGGGAGCAAGGAGGATGGGATAAACAAGGAGAAAATGCGACTGGCGGAGAGCTACAGGGGAGAGGAGAGGGAGCGAGAAAGGGGGCGCATCAGAGGTAGCAGCCCACTGAGTGTGTGTATTAGTAATGTCTGAGGGAAACCAGACAGGAAGAGGTTATGGAAAGTTGATGTGAAACTGAGAAAATGTAAAAACAGAAATAAAGTTAAGCTGCTTAACAGAAGAAGTCACATTCTAGCCTAAAAACCATTTCCCCCACTTGTTGACACACAACAGGCTGCCTATGCGAACTGTTAACCACATGACAGGAAAATAAACACTTGGGCGTTGTATTATCGTGCTCACCGATCATGTGCAGACACGCTGCCTCTGTGCTACTGCACCCACAGGTTTGTAGAGACGACACTGAAGGTGTGACTGTGAAGGGAGCGAGTTGCAAACCCGATATGTACAATGTACAGCCTAACATCACCCACTGAGGCATTTTCTAAACATATTTATATTTTGGAAAAGACTTGATTTATTGTATCTGGAGGATATTTTAACTCTGCAAAAATCTTCTTAACTTGTCATTTCTGTTTATAATGTACAGTAGCTCTAGGGTAATACAATAGAGAAAATGAGGTAATATCTGGTGCGCACCACATATGGTCTTAGGCTCACAAGAAGGTTGAAATTTAATTTAATTTTATTTAGTTTTTTGCTTGCCCACTTAGGGGCTCCATACCAAAATGAACTTGATTCAGAAAATAGAAAAAGTTAAGTTCTATATTGAAAACACGAAAAAGAACTGTAACCATATTTGCAAATATTTCACTTTTTTTTAAATATTGGACAAAATATATACAAAAAAGTGGAACCATATTATTTTTTTTTTTAAATGAAACAGTTTAAAGAAATATTGCATATTTCTTATACAAGTAGTTTCTAACATCATTACTTGTTACACCTGAAACTGCTTTGCTCTTTATGAATGTCTTGCTTTGTTTACTGGAGTAAATGTGGGGAAATATATTTAGTAATATTACTAAAAGCACTTTAACTTGAAGGAAAAGTGGCATTTCATGCAAGTGGACTAGCTGAACTAACTTTAATACTTGATGCACTGTAATAATGAAATTGGCTTCGTGGTTAATTTTGCGGTTTGTGAGTGTGGGTGTATGTGTATGTGTATACTTGCAAAAGGGTAATTCTGTGTGTGTTATAATACTGTTTGTATAAATGTATTTTGGGAAGTGTTTCACATTTCATGCACAGTACTGTATGTGTATGCTTATGTACTTGTGTACAGTATATATACAAATATTTTTTCATTTCTTTCTGTCCTGACACTTGATACACAACTCAGCATTTTCGATATACCATGTTAAAGCAGAGCAAGCCCAGTGACAGTTGAAATTTTATAGACAGATTGCTTAGGAACTTTTTCTATACTTACAAGTGTTTTTGTTTGCATGGTCAACAGAACATGTTATTAAAAGCATTGTCATACTGATGTTCGTTGCCAATATATAAAAAGTATAAAGCGTTATTCAAATGAAATCCTGTGCTGCTGCAAACAAGCTCAATGAAAAATATTTGACATAAGTGAAAATGAGAGGTTGTGCTTGTTTATACCACGCAGCCTAATGTATAGAGGATATGAATCAGTGTAATCAGTCTAACTGGTAATGTACTGTTTAGGTGCATCTTAATAAATATCTTATTTACATTTGTTCATTTGAACATTTATTCAATTACTGTAATGACCAAACTCTGAAAAACTCTGAAACACAAAGGTTTCCCTGCCCTTGTCCTTACCAGGTGTTGTATCAATATGTCCGCCCCCCCCAAGAGGTGTTTCTTCTTATATCTTAACCCAAGTCCAAACCTTGTTCTAACCCTAACCACCAAGAGGGGGGCGTCACAGTAAACGCAGGTTTTAACATGGGGAACACCTCTTCAGGTGTGCACCTAGTGAGTGTCTGTCCGTGCAATCACCTAGTGGGCGGAGTCCAGCCATCAGGTAGATTCAGGTAGTTAGGTTGAGACAGTAGGGCATGTCCTGTTCCTATGCAGCGCTTATAATGAGCAACATGCTCAAATTATAGCGTTAATGGAAAAAGTGAAGATTACTAATATATCACCAGAGAGCTTTTTTTGACAGCAACTGTAAGAAAGCAATGAACATCATATGAAGAAGAAGAAGATACTCTTGCTGCACTGTATTAGCTTGTTTGGTTTTGTTGCATTTAGTTAGCCAGTATGCTAACTCTCCTTTCATTTAGGCCTAGTTTTAGGAATTCATGTGTGGTCTCCCCTCTTTTGCTTGACCTTGAGCCATGTTGTGACGTAATTAGATGATTAAAGAAAATAACAACAGGCACTTTACTGAAGTTTGGCTAATTAGCTTGGATGTTAGTGTTGGTGGTTTGTGTTTATACAGGCTCAAGGCCTGATTGAAAATGTTTAGCTGTTCGCTGCTAAATTTGTCTGGGTAAATGTGCTGTGACATCTAATTGGTACCATCAGGTAGCAGAATCTAGTTAGTTTGAATCAGCCTCTGTGTTTTGTATCATTTTCCTATTTACTTTGGGTAGCATTACATATAATTGATGGAGAGTATTCCCAGAGGGGAGAGAGTGGTGATTGGGGCAGACTTCAACAGGCACGTTGGTGAGGAGAACAAAGGTGATGAGGAGGTGATGGGCAGGTTTGGTGTTAAGGGAAGGAACCTAGAAGGACAGATGGTGGTGGACTTTGCTAAGAGGATGGAAATGGCTGTAGTTAACACCTATTTTCAGAAGAGGGAGGAACATAGAGTTACATATAAGAGTGGAGGTAGGAGCACGCAGGTAGACTACATTCTATGTAGACAAGGCAATCTGAGAGAGATTAGTGACTGCAAAGTGGTGGTAGGAGAAAGGGTAGCCAGACAGCACTG